TCCCCTCTCCCTTTACATTCTTTGTCGTCTCCTTTCACTGCCTGGATTCAGGAGGAAAACGTCAGGCGCAAGCACAATTATATTCCTTTCGTGATGAGCCTTCTGAAGGTGCTGGCCGAGAAGGGGATGCTCAAGTAAGGCGGGAGGTGGGGGGAAAACGAGGGCAATTGAGACGAAATGATTCCCGTACGAAAGATGAGTGCTTTTGAACACTGCAGATACTTAACGCGTTTTGTGGTTCCAAGAATGCGTAGAGAAATGAGGAAGGGTGTTCCATCTTGAACGAGAAGTCTGACATCCTACGGACGAAAATACGTACCACCACACAGAGGGATGGTGGAAGCCGCCAAAAAGAAAGCGGCCGATGCGCAGGCAATGGGTGGGAACAAAGTGAAGTGATGTGGAGAAATCGGCAAGAAAAAGAGGTGGCATGGGCCGGAAGAGAGGGAGGAAATGAAAAAGGCCGTGGAGAGACACGCGAGGAAAAGAAATACACGAAGACAGTACTCGCGCGACAAGTTTGTTTGTTTATTTAATTATCACCTCGCGCTAGAAGAAGGAAAATCTTATTGACGACGAATGGAAAGAAGTATATTATTCACTGACGATATATTCCAGTCCATGCTGTCCTACGAGACAAGGTGAAAACATACAAGTTGTGTATGTACAGTATGGTTTCCCCTTCAGGGTAGAAGCGGCCACCTCAACGTGGAACACGCCGGAACCCGTCCGCTCTCCGAAGCTAAGCGCGTTCGAGTCCCAATAGTACTGCCGTGGGTGACCAGGCTGGAAGGTGGGATGTCGCTTCTTTTTGTTTGTTTATACAAGCGATTTTTGTTTGTGCTTTGCTCATGGTTTGATTGTCCGACTGCTTCGTACCACTCCTTCCCCAAAAAAAATACAGCGCAGAGCACCCTGCATGTCTTGAAAGAGTCGGCGCTGCCTCTAATTTACATTTGCCTGAGGGATGCGTTATGGGCTTTTTGTCGGCCTTACAAATTTTGATGGACGCATGTGGCGCACGAGTTTTTGACATGGAACCCAATGCTTCACTCAGCTCCAAGGGATTTTTCCATAAGCTTGTACCCAAAGATCAGCTACTGCTAACAAGGATGATTTTTATTGGGGTTTGAAAGGATGGCATCCATTTGCATCGCTGCTGTTGGTGGGGGGGAATCGGGAGAAGTTCCCCTCTCGTTGCGCGGGTCTTTATTTCGTTCGGTCTTTATCCATAAGAATGTATAATTTCTACCTTATTTTTGCCTTAAATTAACTAAAATATTGATGATTATTTATATAATATAGTCAGTAAACTATTTTATTCATTTTTATGGAATTATAAGCAATTCTGTAGAAAAAAAGAAAAGATGACCGACTATGTTTACCGAGGATATTAGGATCGGAATAATCTTTAACGCAGATCTAAAATCTATCACTAAGATGAACCTTGTCAGTCAAATGCTTTTATTTTTAAAAAAGGATGTAAAAAAACTCTAAGGGTCTCTACACAATATGTGGAACAATATTATCCTTAGCTAGTATATAATGTTTAAGCCGAAGTAAAGTATATTTCACCTGATAAAATGACTCAGTCCGACGCCAAAAAGCGTACCCTCAATGCGGTGTATTTAGAATTTTTTCTTCCGGGTGTTTGAAATATACGTCGTTTATCGCTCGATAAAAATCGTTCATTGACCGATTCATCTCCTTCGCGAGAAAATGGATGGTATTACACCCATACAAGTGCATTAATATGAATATGTTCATTTGACCACTTTGTTTGGCCCGGGCTGCTCAAAGCGTGTCTCGGCCGGTTTTCATAACGCCTACATGCATCATGCTCTCGTAGCGCAAATTTCTACCTATGCACGAGCAGAAACAAACCAATCACAATGGTAAGCCGTTAAATTTCATTTCTTATTTGGAACCATTGGCTATGCCTGCACGGCGACCTTCACCACTTCCCCTCACATTGGAGATTTTCAGTCGCACTATCTCAGAGCCATCTTCTTCTTTGTCCCTCTCTCAAGGACACGTGGGACAATTTCTTTCCTATCTAGGCGGGCTGTACTCCATCCCATTGCACAATTAAGAGTCTAGGAGGAGAACAAGGAGGAAACAGGTATCATGAAATTGAAGGTAGTGTGCCCGGCCCCGGATGACCCGAAAAAGAGTGACTGGGGTTCGTTCCTGCACGCGTGAAAAGAGCACAGATTTTGCACGTCGTTTTCGGTAACAGCCATTCTGGGAGAGAAGAGTCAGACGTCGCGCGATCGATATAAGTGGATAGATGAACAGAGCGGTAAACTAACGCATATATTCACTATTTTTCCCGACCAATCTCAAATATCTCTTTACTTTTCCATTTTTCCTTGTGTGATCTCTATTCTATGTGGCAATATTTCTAATGCAAAGAAGTTCACGATGACCTGCTTTTCCGTCATTTATGTGGTTTTCAAGCCCAACGTGTGGCGGCGCTTGCCAAGGGACCAATTCGAACCCCCATGAAAGGGGAGACAGCATCGCAAGGCGGGGGAAAGGGCAAAAGGATGGAATGAATCGGATCGGAACGGATCGGAACGGATCGGAACGGATCGGATCGGATTTGGCGGAAGAAGATCGTCAGCCTCCCCGCCCGAACGTCAACAACAACACTCCATCCCTTCTTGAGGGAAACCTGCCCCGACGGTGCGTGAATGATTACCCAATCCGGGCGCAGTTTGATCAGCGTGGGTGAGAAAGAGGAGGAAAGAGGGCTAACTCACGGTCTGCGCTGGTCGATGCGATGATAGAAGGGCGCCAACTTGGTTTTTTAACCTATCGACGTGATGACCGCTAGCCTCGGATGCTTACCACCCTACTCCGCTCCTCCAACCACGCAGAGCCATGGAAACAAAAAGGAGGAGACGGAGACGAAGGAGACGTCCACAGTATGGGGGACTTCCCCTACTCATTCTGCTGCTAGGTAACTACATAGTCTGCTTTTTCAAACCTTTGCTTCGTCTTCCTTTTGTCCGTTCCTCGCGACGATCTCCTGGCACAAATTAGATGATTACTTACCGTGATGATGTGTCTTTACATACAGGCCTCGGGAGCTCCTCTAAGATTCCCGCATTGTTTTCCTGTCTCTCGACGCGTGCGTCGACGACAAAGCGGAGAAAAAAGGGTGGGAGGTCGTTCCTGGGGAGGGAAGGAG